GATCTGGTTACATACACAAGAAATGCTCTTGGGACTTGGATGGTTAGAAGGTAATGCACACACTTAATTACAAGTACCTTTTTTTTTTGGTAACCTACAGCTCAAAGGTCAACAGGGTTGAATACCTTTTTGTTGCAGCGGCTACCTATTTCTTTAAAGTGCCTTTTCTCTGTTCATTAGTTCCTGCAATGTCCTAGCTAAACAGCCATTTAAGACTTAAAACCACGACACCCGTGAACATTCTGTAGGTTATTAGTTAACTTGTGTTGTAAGTAGGGGTTTTTTCGATCTAAAAGTCTCATTTATTTTTGGGCGAGGGGTGGTAAAGCTTTTTCACTTCCCTATGTTTTAATGTAAAATGATTTCTCTCCAACTATTTCCTAGGAAATATACTCGAACTCTTCAGGAGTTGAGCCCCCTCCATTTCAAAATCCTGCATCTATCCCTGCTGCTAATTAACAAATTGTAAAAGTAATTCTTTGTGAATCCAGTTACAATAGAAAAGGTCTGTGTGGCCTTCACAAACTTAATTGGTGAATTGAAGTCACACACAGATATATATAATATATATTTGTAGGGCTTACACACATCCAGATCATGCCCTTCATGTACCTTGCACATGTACCAGTGTATTTATGTCAAGTTCAGGCCAGCGATACACTGGAGTTCAAGTTCAGGCTAAAAATAGCCAGTCAGCTGTTTGGGATAAACATGTTTGTCTGCTTTTGTATAGATCTAGAGTGCACCATGATATTGTACCACGGTTTGGTGGTTTGTAGTAGAGATTTAGTTGGTGTATGTCTGAAAAGTAGAATCAGCAATCATAAGCATGAACATTCAGACAAAAAATAAATAAAAAACATTAACACAATATCACTGAATATTTTAGTCGTTGGAGGGGGACGTGTTTGTTTCGGCAGAGTACACTCATATTTTCACTGTTACCCTGACCTTAAAGAAACTACATCTCATGCAAAAATTTGTCCAGTTGTTCAGTCTTTGTGACAATTTCTATGGCAATAACCTAAGACCACCCTGAATTTAGCCTTCAGCCTGTGTTCTGGCCTCCCTAACCCTTTCACCACTGTAAACTATAATGGACTCATCTAAATCGATGCATGGTATAGTTTACTTAAGTTACATAGGGGTAAAAGGGTTAAAGTTTTCTTTACAACTGTATCTCACTTTAATTAATTGCATTAAAGCTAAAGGTTTTTTTAAACAAAAACACTTTCCATTACTTTATTTTTTTTGGACTTTATCAGTTTAAATGTGGGTCCTCAAGTGTTTCCAGACATCAATCTTTGAGATATAAATAGATTTTGATAAAAATGCACATTATACTTTATACTTGTGACCTATATGTTTTTGTTGTGTTATCACAGTGATGGTTTTTCGGTCAACATACTTTTTATATTGGATGAACTACATTAATATAGCTGGCCCTGGGGACAGTAATTATTTTCATGAATATGGTTTATATATAATGAAGCGATCTATCACATCAACTGTGATAACTGTCAAACCAAAGTTACCCAGACACTTGAGTGTTTCTACAATTATTTGGTGACGCTGTTGTTTCCTTCGCTCAGTGTCGTCTGATTCGCTTCCCTTTACTTTAAAGTAACACACAACTCCATTTCTTACACTTTATAACACACAACCCCAGCTCATCCTTGTGTGGTCGGGTAGAACCTTAGCGTACTTGACTTTCAAAAGCCAGTGCGGGGTTTGATTCCCCTATCTAACGTGATCAAGTATTGGGTCACCTTCACAACCTCATAGATTTCTCCGTGTCCTCTGGGTAGGGTGGTTTCCTCCAACAGTAAAACCCCTAGTGTCCTCTGGGTAGGGTGGTTTCCTTCAACAGTAAAACCCCTAGTGTCCTCTGGGTAGGGTGGTTTCCTCCAACGGTAAAACCCCCTAGTGTCCTCTGGGTAGGGTGGTTTCCTCCAACGGTAAAACCCCCTAGTGTCCTCTGGGTAGGGTGGTTTCCTCCAACGGTAAAACCCCCTAGTGTCCTCTGGGTAGGGTGGTTTCCTCCAACGGTAAAACCCCCTAGTGTCCTCTGGGTAGGGTGGTTTCCTCCAACGGTAAAACCCCCTAGTGTCCTCTGGGTAGGGTGGTTTCCTCCAACGGTAAAACCCCCTAGTGTCCTCTGGGTAGGGTGGTTTCCTCCAACGGTAAAACCCCCTAGTGTCCTCTGGGTAGGGTGGTTTCCTCCAACGGTAAAACCCCCTAGTGTCCTCTGGGTAGGGTGGTTTCCTCCAACGGTAAAACCCCCTAGTGTCCTCTGGGTAGGGTGGTTTCCTCCAACGGTAAAACCCCCTAGTGTCCTCTGGGTAGGGTGGTTTCCTCCAACGGTAAAACCCCCTAGTGTCCTCTGGGTAGGATGGTTTCCTCCAACAGTAAAACCCCTAGTGTCCTCTGGGTAGGGTGGTTTCCTCCAACGGTAAAACCCCCTAGTGTCCTCTGGGTAGGGTGGTTTCCTCCAACGGTAAAACCCCCTAGTGTCCTCTGGGTAGGGTGGTTTCCTCCCGCGGTAAAACCCCCTAGTGTCCTCTGGGTAGGGTGGTTTCCTCCCGCGGTAAAAACCCCTGTATGATTCAGTCCAGGCCAACAAGAGTGACTTATATAAGTTCAAAAAAATTGTTTTATAATGTGTCTAAAGTGTATATTTAAATCATCTTTACACTTTCATTACACAACTCTAGCTCAACCTTACAGCTTCCCTAAAACTGTAATGTGTATAGAGTAATGGTAATTTGGCAAGAAGATTACTTTCCTCAATACTACAGGGGTAAGTTATGCTCACTTTTGCTCTCTGCACCCCTTGAGTATGTCCTAGTAAAACTGAAGGCACCCCGCTAGCTATATGATTAGTCTCAGGTAAAATAACTGACCAATCGCTAGGCTGATACCCGTCATTTGAAGGTTACAGAGAGCATCACTCCAGTTCAATTAAAGCAAGTCAGTTTTTACCATTATGTGACTGAGAAATTCTTTTGATGTACATCAAAGGATCAAACTAAATTTCTGGTCTCATCAACAAAGTGATGTACACTGAGCCTTTGTCATGACTTATTCCAGGGGTGCAGAGAGCATTAGTGAGGTAACCCCTGGAGTATCTAGAATAGACGCTTGCAGGAACAAAGATTGCTGCTATTTGATCTGTTGATTGGGTGACACATTATATATCCATGTATTGCCACCATGTACCATGGTATTAGCAGTTCAGAATTCAATTAAATGTATTAAATAACAGAAGAGCAATGCCAGCCAATTGGGCCTGTTTTTCGTGATAAATTCTACCTGGAGAATGGTTATCAGTTTTGCTGTGTTATCTATATTGATTCTGCTCTCTGACAGCAGTATCAGCATTCTGTTAATTAGCCTGGCCGTGAATATCTCGCTCCAATATACAGACATTTTACCTGAGGGTATCGATTGTGGCTAATGTAACGAGATATAAACCAATTAATAAGCTCATGTGACTCTTAAGTGATAGTGATATTTTCTTCTTTGAAAGCATTCCAGGAGTAGAGAATTATTAGCAGTTGTTGGAAGAATCCATATATTTCTTATTTTGTTGAGGCAAAGTGACAACTGTCTAAGATCTACCACAAATCCTGATGTCAGCGGTTGAACCCACTGGGGTTAAAATGCTGGCAAACATGTTAATCCTCAAAGCCATATTGTTTTAATAAGGTAACCAATTCAAAATACTATTCAGAAAATTTTAAGGATATTTGTGGTTTGTTTGACCACAGTCTGGACTTCATTGGCACCATTTGACATCCTGTTAATTGTCCTCAGTGCACGTGTTGACCACAGTCTGGACTTCAGTGGCACTATTTGACATCCTGTTAATTGTCCTCAGTGCACGTGTTGACCACAGGCTGGACTTCATTGGCACCATTTGACATCCTGTTGATTGTCCTCGGTGCACGTGTTGACCACAGTCTGGACTTCATTGGAACCATTTGACATCCTGTTAATTGTCCTCAGTGCACGTGTTGACCACAGTCTGGAATTCAGTGGCACTATTTGACATCCTGTTAATTGTCCTCAGTGCACTTGTTGACCACAGTCTGGACTTCAGTGGCACCATTTGACATCCTGTTAATTGTCCTCAGTGTTGACCACAGTCTGGACTTCATTGGCACCATTTGACATCCTGTTAATTGTCCTCCGTGTGTTGTCAGAAGTAGTGTTACTAGATGGGGTGATATGCTAAACTATCACATGGGTGTAACCATGTAATTAATGCATGGTATGGTACTGTGTACCAGGAAATTTTCACTCAGTCAAATGTTCGCCCTTTGTCGGTAAAATCCATATTTTCCCAGTTTTAATTTCGCCCTTCACATTTGTACATATGTATGTTGTGATGATAAATTTGCCCTCATTACCGAGGGTGAAAAAGGTGAAAATTAAACTACTGCGAAAATGTCCTGGTTTAGAGTATAGTCATGTTGAATGATGCTACCTGGTATATAATCATGTTTGTGGGTACTTCCTTTCATTGTTTAACTCATTGACCCCTGAAGACACATTTGAACCCTTCCAATTCAAAGGTTGGAATAGTTCATTATGAAATTTCAGGGGTGAATGAGTTAAAGCCGTAAAAATTGTTTCACGATACAAACTTTTATGAATACCCGAAATAAGACAAAAAGCAGTCGAGTATATAAAATAAATTTGCAGCATTTATCTTCAATAAGATTCATCAGTTTGGAAATATGTGATATCAAAGTTTTACTTTCTTCACAAACAATGTACGTATTAAACGTGTCGCAACATTTAATATGTACATTGTTTGTATAAAAAGTAAAACTTTGATATTGCAGCAATTATTTTCAGGGTTCCACAAATATAAAAGGAGCATGGTAGTCATGTGATGAATAAGAATATATATTAATTAGTGTGTAACTGTCGTTTTCACAGGGACTGGTGGTTGACCTATGGTTTATTAATTGATTATTCCTTTATTATTATAGAGAGGAGATTGTGGACCTACAGAAGGGGGATCAACACATCATGCGGTATAAACCCATGGCACCACTGGTATCGTCTGGAGCAGTAACATTGATCTGATACTGGTATCGTTTTGAGCAGTAACATTGATCTGATACTGGTATGGTCTGGAGCTGTAACATTGATCTGATACTGGTTTTGTCTGGAGCTGTAACATTGATCTGATACTGGTATCATCTGGAGCTGTAACATTGATCTGATACTGGTATCATCTGGAGCTGTAACATTGATCTGATACTGGTTTCAACTGGAGCAGTAACATTTATCTGATACTGGTATTGTCTGGAGCTGTAACATTGATCTGATACTGGTATGGTCTGGAGCTGTAACATTGATCTGATACTGGTATCATCTGGAGCTGTAACATTGATCTGATACTGGTATCATCTGGAGCTGTAACATTGATCTGATACTGGTTTCAACTGGAGCAGTAACATTTATCTGATACTGGTATCGTCTGGAGCTGTAACATTGATCTGATACTGGTATGGTCTGGAGCTGTAACATTGATCTGATACTGGTATGGTCTGGAGCTGTAACATTGATCTGATACTGGTATCATCTGGAGCTGTAACATTGATCTGATACTGGTATCATCTGGAGCTGTAACATTGATCTGATACTGGTTTCAACTGGAGCAGTAACATTTATCTGATACTGGTATCGTCTGGAGCTGTAACATTGATCTGATACTGGTATGGTCTGGAGCTGTAACATTGATCTGATACTGGTATGGTCTGGAGCTGTAACATTGATCTGATACTGGTAACAACTGGAGCTGTAACATTGATCTGATACCGTATCGTCTATAGCTGTAACATTGATCTGATACTGGTATGGTCTGGAGCTGTAACATTGATCTGATACTAGTATGGTCTGGAGCTGTATTGATCTGATACTGGTATGGTCTGGAGCTGTAACATATTGATCTGATACTGATATGGTCTGGAGCTGTGACATTGATCTGATACTGATATGGTCTGGAGCTGTAACATATTGATCTGATACTGGTATAGTCTGGAGCTGTAACACATTGATCTGATACTAGTATGGTCTGGAGCTGTATTGATCTGATACTGGTATGTTCTGGAGCTGTAACATTGATCTGATACTGGTATGGTCTAGAGCTGTAACATATTGATCTGATACTGGTATAGTCTGGAGCTGTAACACATTGATCTGATACTAGTATGGTCTGGAGCTGTATTGATCTGATACTGGTATGGTCTGGAGCTGTAACATATTGATCTGATACTGGTATGGTCTGGAGCTGTGACATTGATCTGATACTGTTATGGTCTGGAGCTGTATTGATCTGATACTGGTATGGTCTGGAGCTGTAACATTGATCTGATACTGGTATGGTCTGGAGCTGTAACATATTGATCTGATACTGGTATTGTCTGGAGCTGTATTGATCTGATGTTTGGACTGAGATATTGATATAATTTCTACGTGAACTGCTCTTATCACTTACCACTGGTTACACACATCGATATCTCCATCTGTGACAGCAGCTATATTGACTGAAGGGTTGGTTTGATTCCCAAAGTAATCTACAAAATGGGTGGTCAATAGTATTGTATGTGATGATTATGAGATATTTGTTATGTTCCTGTACATTGTACATATAATAGTTTAATAAGGTTTGCCCATCTATGACTGTGTGGTTTGAATGTCGCATAAGTTTTTAACCTCATTCTCTATCATGTAATGTTGTGTGTGAGATCCCTCATAGATACACTAGTACATGATGGTAGATCAAATATGACATAAAAAGTCCTTCTGATGAATTGGAGGTGTATTTAAAAATATAAATTCTTTTAACTGAATGGCATTAAAAATTGAAATGTTGATCTCAGTTTTATTTGTTGTTTTGAAATACACTTTGAATTTGAAACATGAACATGAATCTGATTGATCTTTTATGCTCCAATAATCAAACATGTCGGGCATACCATGAAATTTGTACCTCTGTGACCGAATAAATTATTTTCCTACTTATATCATTGCTTAAATGTCTACCTTAATGTGTTTTTAGCTCACCTGGCCCAAAGGGCCCTGTGAGCTTATGCCGTACTGCGGCATCCGGCGTCTGTCGTCCGCCCGTCAACTTTTTCTTTTAAACGACTTCTTCTGAAGAACTGGAGGACCTAGGGCCATGATATTTGGCCAGTAGGTACCTGGGATGGAGTGCTATAAAGTTTCCTCATTAAAATGTCCTTGACCTACTTTTAAGGTCACAGGGGTCAAATATGTTTAAAAATTCAAACAACAATATCCTAAGAACCTTTTGGACTAGAGTCATGATACTTAGTAATGTTATGTAGACCAGCAGTGCAAATCTTTTTCTTTGTTACAGTAATGAGGTCAAAGGTCAACTTAAAGTGATAGTAGGGGGTCAAACGTTAACATGGGTTAAAAGCTTTAACAATCTTCTGCTCAAGTTCCATAAGGCCCAGGGTCATGATATTTGGCCAGTAGGTACCTGGAATGGAGTGCTATAACGTTTCCTCATTAAAACGACATTGACCTTCTTTCTAGGTCACAGGGGTTAAAAATGTTAAAAAATTCAAACGACGATATCCTAAGAACCATTTAGACTAGAGTTATGATACCTGGGTATGTTATTGAGACCAGTGGTGAGAATCTTTTTCTTAATTACTGTAATGAGGTCAAAGGTCAACTTTAAGTGCTAGTCGGGTGTCAAATGTCAACATGGGTTAAAAGCTTTAACAATCTTCTTCTCAAGTTCCATAAGGCCCAGGGTCATAATATTTGGCCAGTAGGTACCTGGGATGGAGTACTATAAAGTTTCCTCATTTATATGACTTTGACCTACTTTCAAGGTCACAGGGGTCAAATATGTTAAAAACTTCAAACAACAATATCCTAAGAACCATTTGGACTAGAGTCATGATACCTGGGTATGTTATGTAGACCAGCAGTGCGAATCTTTTTCTTTATTACAATAATGAGGTCTAAGGTAAACTTTAAGTGCTAGACAGGGGTCAAATGTCGACATGGGTTAAAAGCTTTAACAATCTTCTGCTCAAGTTCCATAAGGCCCAGGGTCATGATATTTGGCCAGTAGGCACCTGGAATTGAGTGCTATAAAGTTTCCTCATTAAAATGACAATGACATTGACGTTCTTTCTAGGTCACAGGGGTCAAAAATGATAAAAAATTCAAACAACGATATCCTAAGAACCATTTTGACTAGAGTTATGATACCTGGGTATGTTATTTAGACCAGTGGTGAGAATCTTTTTCTTAATTACTGTAATGAGGTCAAAGGTCAACTTTAAGTGCTAGTCGGGGGTCAAATGTCAACATGGGTTAAAAGCTTTAACAATTTTCTTCTCAAGTTCCATAAGCCCAGGGTCATGATATTTCGTCAGTAGGTACATTAAATGTACCTAGGATGGAGCGCTATAAAGTTTCCTCATTAAAATGACCTTGACCTACTTTCAAAGTCACAGAGGTAAAATATGTTAAAAAATTCAAACAACATTATCCCAAGAACCATTTGAACTATAATCATAATACTTCAGTATGTTATGTAGACCAGCAGTGCAAATCTTTCCCTTTATTACAGTAATGAGGTCAAAGGTCAACTTTAAGTGCTAGTCGGGGGTCAAATGTCAACATGGGTTAAAAGCTTTAACAATCTTCTTCTCAAGTTCCATAAGTCCCAGGGTCATGATATTTTGTCAGTAGGTACCTAGGATGGAGCGCTATAAAGTTTCCTTATTAAAATGACCTGACCTACTTTCAAAGTCACAGAGGTAAAATATGTTAAAAAATTCAAACAACAATATCCCAAGAACCATTTGAACTATAGTCATAATACTTCAGTATGTTATGTAGACTAGCAGTGCAAATCTTTCCCTTTATTACAGTAAGGAGGTCAAAGGTCAACTTTAAGTGCTAGTCGGGGGTCAAATGTCAACATGGGTTAAAAGCTTTAACAATCTTCTTCTCAAGTTCCATAAGGCCCAGGGTCATGATATTTGGCCAGTAGGTACCTGGAATGGAGTGCTATAAAGTTCCTCATTAAAATGACATTGACGTTCTTTCTAGGTCACAGGGGTCAAATATGTTAAAAACTTCAAACAACAATATCCTAAGAACCATTTGGACTAGAGTCATGATACCTGGGTATGTTATGTAGACCAGCAGTGCGAATCTTTTTCTTTATTACAGTAATGAGGTCAAAAGTCAACTTTAAATGCTAGTCGGAGTCAAAGGTCAACGTGGGTGAAAAGCTTTAAAATTAATTTCACACTCAAATTTCAAACAACAATATCTTAAGAAGCGTTTTAGAGATGTTAAAATGTCTTGTGTTCTAGTTACCAAATTTGTTCTGAAGTTACCTATATGTCAGTTTCATGTAACAAAAGAAACACTTTTCACTGGTGAGCGATACAGGCCCTCTGGGCCTCTTGTTATCAGATTTAGATATGCTGCGTTAAAGTTAGAACTACATTTTATAAAATTCAGGATCTCTATAGAATATCCAAATGAAGGGCTGTCAAGTTTGTTAAAAGGAATGAAGTTGACTTATTTTCTAGGCTACAGGGGTCAAGTGTGTTTCCATTTTGAAACAATTTCTTAATAACCAAAAGGCCTTGGGTAATAATATTTTGTCAGTAGCATCTTGGAGCAAAAGGCTATCAAGTGTGTTCAAATGAATGACCCTGACCCACTTTCAACATTATAGAGATCATATTTGTTAAGTTTCTAAACAACAGCCTCTAAATAATCAAGAGGCCTAGAATCATGATATTTGACCTGCAGTAAGTTTTGCTAAAAAAAAAAAAGGATGGTTTCTTAAAATGACCTACTTTCAAACAACTATTTCTGAATATAGAAGAGCTATTTGGCATGTAGATGCTGGGGTAAAGACCAATTATATTGTTTAAACAAATACCCTTTTTTCACTTTCAAGGTCACTGGTGTCAAACTTTCGAATGACTTCTTTTAAAGAACCATAATATCTAGAGTAATATTATTTGGCTTTTAGTTTGCCGGGATAGGCGTATCAACTTTGTTACAATAACTAACCTTGACCCCTGTTTTAGGGTCAGAAAGGTCAAGTATGTTCAAATCTTCAAAACACCTATTCTAAATTTCTTTAAAGGTCTTAAATAACAATGTTTGTTTAATAGCTGGTAGAGGAAATCGACTGTGTTAAAATTAAAGGTTTTGACCCATTTTACTGTTACAAGGGTCAACTAAGCAAAAATCCTTATTTAGTTACTTGTTCTAAAGATCCATACTGTTTGAAATAATTTTATATTGACTCACTTTAAGGTCATAGATATGAGGTGTGTTTGCTAACAGTATTGTATGGAAGATGAGCAATACAGGCCCTTTTGGGCCTCTTGTTCCACACAAATAAAGAACATGTTACTACAGCATGATATGCTAGATTATTTTAGGACAGCATCAAAATAACTGAAATATAAAATCTCATCTGGTTTTCTTGCTGATTTGTTCCACATTTTGTCTTGATATTTTAGCGCAAACAAGACAAGTAGAAACATTGTTTTCGGAAACCTTTGCCACAGGACCAGCAAACAATGTAGATTATAATAATATAATAATAAATAATAATAGATATAATAATTTGGATGTTTTCCATGTTTTCTATGTTTTCTATGTTCCAGTGCCTTATTAAAAATATCATTTTACAAACATGTACATTCAGATACTGCAGCTAGGTATTTTCTACTCTTTTCTTTTGATTTCCAAGCTAAATAAATGATAGCTGGAGGTACTGCAGACCAGTTCTAAGTGGCACATCCTCA